TTTCTAGTAAAGTTAAATTACTGCGTAATTCAGTTAAAAACAAAAAGCGGAAAATAATTTCGCACGCAGTAATAATAACAGGACAGTTAACAGACCATATAAATATTTGTATTTATCTCAATGACTTTCAGTAGTTCCTTGACTTTGTTGTTTAGCCGCAAATTGGTGAGCCTGACCGGTTTTTTTCTCAAAAAGATATTTTATCATGGCCTCTTGGGTATATTTATCACCTTGTTTAGGATAAACATCCTGGTCTAATGGTTGCCCCTCGTCATTTTTCTCTGCTTCCATTTTAACTTTGATCTCATTCACAAAATTATCATCTTTTTTCAATTTATAACCAAATATGGCTTTGATTACTACCTCGGCTTTTTGATGAGTTAAGAAATCATTCACTTTTTCTTTTTCATTTTTGCCGGTTGGTTGCTCTGCCGCAGGCAATTTACTCAAATACTCCGAGAAGTCCGCCTTTTCACCCTCTTTAATATTTTCCTTGAAAAATTCTTTAATTTGAACGGCAGTTCTTAGTTCAGATTTATCATTATCGAAAGCCCGTCAAGATTCAACTACTTCGTTAGGAACTTCGACATTACTGTCTCCCGTAACAGTTTCAAATATTTCTTTCACCTCCTCTGCTGATACTTTTTGGTTGGATTCTTTTGGTTCTTTTGCTTTTTCAGCATCAATTTTACCAGTTAATTCAGTTTTTTTGTTATCAATGTCCGTTTGGGTATTTTTATCCTCAAATTCTTTCTCTCATTCAGCCCCCCAGAACCTCCGTTATCTTTTTATTATTAATCAAGCCGGTTTCTGTCTGGTTGTTAGATTTGCCTTTTCAGTAATTTTTGACCTCCGTAATAGCCCTTAAACGAGCAGCAGCAGCGTCAAAAGGAGGCTCTTTGGTTTTCCTAATCTCCTCAATGGCCTTTTTAATTTTATCTTGGCGATTGCTTACCTCCGTCTCCGTAGTAGCCGCATTAATATAATCTTTTCAATCCTTTATGGTTGTGCCATTAATTAAATTAGCCTCGGTTTTATTCAATTCTGTTTTCAATTCCTCATCATTCAGTTTAGTTTTATTACCCGAAGTATCATCCATTAATTTTTGAATATCATTTATAGCATTAGTTTTAGCACTGGATAATTTTGCTGCTTCATCAGCGTCAATTTTGGCTTTCTTGGCCGTAGTAATGTCGGCTGGCTTGTCAGCATCATATTCTTTATTGTCATATTTTACTTTATTATTAGTTGCTCCTTTCTCTAATTCTGAGCCATCAACCCGAGGATTACCATTGTAAAGTTCAGCGGCTTTTTCAGCCGTTAAGTTTTTATCAAAATAAGCCAAAATATCGGGGTCGGAGGCACTGGCCGAAGCACCAGAAACGGCTTTGAAGTCAGTAATGAATTTTTGACGAACAGCCGCCGCAGCGGTCAACACCGCTTTATCCCCCAAACCATCAATAGCAGCAAAACCATCCACATTGTTTCCAGTGAGAGGATTAACCACCCGAATATCAGTGCCGTTAATTAGAATGTCAGCTGCATCTCAATTATTATCTCAAAGAGCACGGGCGTTAGTGGCCGTTAAATTAGCATCTAGGACATTTCCCTGGCCCAGGACGGTTTTGGCGAATCAAGCATCCATTATAGTATCGTCGGCTCCTGCGTTGCCTCCTACTGTCAGATTCGTATTGCGAGGACCATTAGCCGGACCCGCCATAGCAGTTCGTCAAGCATTTTTGGCATTATCTCGGGCTTGGGTTTTAGTTGTGGTTAGAGGGTCAATAGTTCAGTCCACATTATTAAGGGAAGCACGGATAGTGCCGTCGTTGGCAATTTGGATTTCGTGGTCTTTCCAATTTCCTCTCCAATCTACACCTACTATCGTGGCTGCTTGCTGAGGGGTTATAGTGTGTTCTCCATTAGTTTTACGAAAACCCAAAATCCAACTATAATCTGTTGGCGTTTCATAATATTCGTCATTATCAGCAAAAGCATTGTCAAAGGCGTTTTTAAATTCCAAAGTCCATCATTCATCATGGGCTAACCTCAAAACCCCATTGGCAATATTGATAGCCGCTTGTTTTCGCTCATCAAGTAAAAGTCCCCCAATAATTCCTGCGTCTCTAATTTTCCTTTCTCATGCTGCCGTCCTTGCATCTGTATCCACTTCTCGTCTAATTTGTTGTTGATGTGGAACAGGGATAACATTATCAAGATAGTTATTAACATACTCAATTATTTGGGTCTTGTCGGCACTGATATCTTTTAAATTTCCTCAATAATTTTTATCGGCATCATTATTTCAATTTTTAACCTCTTCTAGGTCAAGTAATTCTGGTGCTGTTGTATTTCTTTGCTGTTGCTCTTGCTCCTCTGCCGCTGTGCGGGTCGTTTCAGTTGGGTCAATATCCGCAAGAAAATTTTCACCACCATCCAACGAACCGCAAATAACGCCTTCGTCATTAATCATGATTTCGTTCGGGTCATGTCATCCATTATTATAAACCTTTCCGGCTTGGGTTCCGGTTATTCAATAAAAATTGTTAGTGCTGTGCTTGTGATATTCAAGTATCGCATCATTGGCGATATTGTTCTCGTTGCTTGCCAAGCCTCCTGTCAATCGGAATTCCTTGGTAAATTGGTCTTTAACTATTCTGTTTGCATTTCAAGCCGCTTTGGTGTTGGTGGGGTTGGTTCAATCAAACCTATATCAGTTGCCGGAGGGAGTGAGGATTCTGCCACTACCATCGCTAAAGATTTCAATTTCATTTTCTAGTCAACCACCATTGCGAGCAATGGCTCCTTCGGCACCTGTTGTTCGGAGGTTGCCTCGAATTTTTCGGTAGTCCAGAATATCATCATCCTCCATATCGTTGTAAGCACCAACAGGAACCGCAGCGGCTTTGAAATCATTAATTCATCAAGCGTTGTAGGCTACATTCAGAACCCCGTTAGCAATAGTAATAGCGTAATCTCTGGCCGTATCAACATTAGAATTCTCGCCGAAAGTTGTGATTTTTCTAAGGTTAATTTTGTTTTCTCATCTTCTTTCCTTTTCATTTACTTTTTGTTTAACTAAATTCTGGTATTCAGGAGAAACGACATTAATATAATCCTTAACCCGAGCAATTATTTGTATCTTGTCAGCCTCAAAATCTGGTTTACCACCAAAAAATCCTCCTCCTGTTAAGTGAGTTTTATTATCCCAACCTTTAACCTCGTCAAGAGTAAGAAGTTGTGGGGCTACTGCTGGAATTATTCTACCTGCCTTTCCGCCGGTGTTGCTACCATCTCGATTGTCAGACGATTCAGCATTCAAAAAGTCAATCACTTCATTAGCATAACCTACAATGGTAGGTACGGATTTTTTTCTACCCTTGCTCTTGGTGATTTGTATCCTTTCTTCTCATTTTTTAATATTATTGTTATCGGAATTATCTATCAAATCTTTTAACTCTGCTGAATTATCTTTTTCATCAATAGCATTTTTAACATAATTAATCACTCATTCTTGATCGTCTTTAAATGGCCCTCTCGGCTTATTCTTTCGTTTATTATTACCCTGTGCAAAATGAATGTCCGTTTTCGAACAAACAAATTTTAGCAAAAAAATTTTTACTTACTAATAGCATCGGTTGCTAATTTTTTATATTCCTTTAAATTTTGCTTAGCCAGTTCATTATAAAACTTGCCTTGTAATAAACAATCCATTCTTTGCTTTTCACTTAGTTCTACTTCTCCTAGTTCTAAACTCTTTAAAACATTAAACAAGGCAATTTTTTTCTCATAAACTCCTTTCTTGCTTTTAAGGATACTTTCTATTTTTTCGATAGTTTTATCCCCCTCTATGCGAACCAAAGAGTTTTTGCCACATTTAGGACAGTGTAATAATTTTCTTGTCATACCACAACTTATTTTTTTTACCTTTTATGATATAATTTTAGCACTTTTTCTATTCTGACGCACGTGTGAGAAAAACTAAGTTCAATTTAGACTTAACTGCTCCGAACCCTAAAAAGAGAAAGATTAGCAATTCTAAATTTGGAACATCAGAGCTTTTTAGGATTAACCTTTTAGTAAAATTTCATTATGGTAAGCGAAGAAAAAACTAAGCACTTGGTTCTTGCCGACTTAGGAATTGATCCTAACCAGGAATACTCTGAATTTCACTTAATTATCCAAGGTGTTAAAGAAAGTGAATATCCTGAAATTGAAGAAATATTGAAAGAAGCAGGAGGCAAAAATCAAGAATTTAAAGGAAAAGGCAAGCCTGAATACATTATCAGACTAAAAAACGAAGAAAAAGTTTTGTTGGTCGAATGTAAGGCTGACAGAAAAAACCACCAATTTCCTAACCTAAACAAACCAGAGAAATTTAATGTTGATGGCACTCTCCATTATGCAAAGCATTTTAAAAAAAATTTGATACTTTATTTCTTGTAGTTAGCGGTGTCCAAAGAAACAAATTAAAAATTTCTTTCGGTATTTGGAAAAAAGGAGAAGATGCTTATCAATTCATCGAAGAACAAACAAAGATTTTTCCATGGAAAGAATATTTTGTTGTTCAGAAAGAGGGAGAAAAACCGATTGAGTATGGAAAAATTAGAACAATAGCACGGGAGATAAATGAAATTTTTCATTCGGAAAGTTGAGGATTAGATGATAAACAAAAACCTTTTTTCATTAGTGCCTGTTTGTTGGCTCTCGATAATAAAAATTTCCGAAAAGGTTTTTATCTTATGCTGGCCGTTGGGGCTGATTTTTCGGTAATTCAGGACCGACTCCTGGTCTATTTTTTGCCTTATTTCTCAACTCAAAGTTTGCGGGCCGTAGAAATTATCA